CATTCCTGCACTCCTAGTGTCTACCCTTTTTTATTTTTTTGACAATGCACTTGTGTTTAAGGTATTTTGCTATTTAGTCTAGCTTTCTGAGTGCCTTTGCCTGAAGATTACAATACACATATTTCTCAGTGTTGGAAGCTCCCAGTGTGATTAATTTTATTTTCTTTAAATCCTGAAAAGCGCTTGTTCCAGGCAGAAAGCTAGGGCAAGGTCAGCATCTTTGAAACAGATTTATTTTTTACAGCTGAATTCTTTATTTATCCTAATAGGGTGTTCCTATCCAGACAGTCAAGCCTGTGATTCTTTAAAAACAAATAAATCACATGAATGTGGTGAGCAGTGCTTGGCGTACTGGATGGGCAGAGGCCTCTTGCATTTGTAGTTTTTCTTTCCTGCCTTGTTAAAGGAGATTTAGCTTGTAGACTATGAAATGCTGTGGCCTTCGGAAAGATGAGCTGTAAAGCTCACCAGCGGGAGAGTTGGCCCTTGTCATCTCTCCCCACATTGTTTTGCACTTCCCCCATCTATCGTATTTCAAACCCCATGCCTTGGTCCAGCCCACGGACAATTCTTGTAACCGGCTTAGTCAGGCATGGGATTTCTCTTCCTACTTCTGCCTGTTACACTTAGTTTGTAGCAGTAATGCCTGCTTTGTGGGAGCCACTGCAATAAACTTGTTCCTCTCCTTATGCAGGGGACTAGCTGTAGAAGCTGAGTACTTTGGTGTCGTAGTAGTTGCCTCTTCCACGGCGCGGCTGGTACAGGGATCTGATGAGAGCAGTTTGGCTTCTCTGTTCTGACACGGCCACGTTGAAGCATCTTGATGGTTCTCACCAATGTCCCTGGATGGGACGGGCCTGGGAATGTGACCATGCGGGTTCAAAAACCTGCTGTCAGCACTGTCCCGGGGTGTAGGGGACACCTACTGCACCCGGGTGCGCCTCCTCCGCTGTGGTACCAGCTGCTGGCGGTGCTGTTAGCTGCAGCAGCATCTCAGCTGCAGTCGAAACAGCCATTCAGATTTAAAAAAATAAACTATCTTCCATACTTTCGCAAGCCATGTTGTTGTTAATGTCTTTTAACACCATGAATGTCAATAGTTGACTTTTGTTATGTGATGCATAATTACAAAGCAAAGGGGGGGTTGACCTCCGGCTGCACTGGCTTGTATTTTATTTGAGATTACGGAGTGCCGTGCTGTTTATGATTCAGCAGTAAAAGACTTCACTGAAACCATGCACGCTGTTGTAAGCTGCACTGCCGGCTCTGAAATGCTGCAGAACACTTGTGCCTTCGGGCACCGCGATGTGCAGATCTTTCAAGCAGCTGGTTTTGGGGTAGAGGAGAGGGCTCATTGTAAGAGTTGCATGAAGCACTTTAGAAACAATGCATTTTTTTTTCCCTTTCTTTCCTTCCCCTTTCCCTTTTTCCTTGAGTTATTTACACCACACTAGACAAAAAGTTAAACTATGGGCAATACCTTAATACCCTTGGCAACGTTTATGCTTTCTATAAGGATGGTTCCGTCTTTTAAATAGGATTCGGTAAGCGAGGGGGTTTTCTTCAGAAGGACACCTCTGCTGTCAGATCACACAGAAGCAGATCACCATGACGGGCTGGGTACTGCCTTTGACCTCGTAGATCTTGCATCCTTTCTAAATCAAGCTCCCCGTGTCCGTGCTGCAGGTGCGGCTGTGGAGGCACGCCGGAGCTTGGAGGGGCCGGGGAGGAGCACCCTACAGCACGCTGGTGCCATCTGACGGTAAGCTTGCCCAGCAGGCTTTCCCCTTCCCGTCAATGTCAATGAGTTTTTCATTTCTTTTGTGGGAATGGGGTGAGATGACGTTAGTTGCGTGTTTTATTTTTATCTATCTATCTGTCTATATGTATATATCTCTCAGAAATAGAAGTATTCTGTTCATTAAAGAAATCTAGAATGCTTTGTGTGTTTTTTTTTTTTAATTCATCCTGTGTTTTAAAACCAGCTTTTAAATTAAATTACAACTTATGATACAACTAATTCACTTTGTTTTCTTTTCTGCCCAGAAGTAACTATTACTTACAGACATGGTCTTCCTGTGATAACTCTCACACTGCCCACACGAAGTGAACGCTGTCAGTTC